AAGCTTGGCAACTGAGGGTGGCACTAACGCAGGCTCATCACACCCGGCGGCCGGCGTACGTTGTAACTTGTAAGAGGGCTAAGGCGACGACGCAGGAGGGGCGTGAGCCAAGGACCGTGGACAACAACTGTTTGTGCACTTTTTATTTTCAGTAGTCTGGAAGGAGAGATGCTGAATTTACGGTGATACTAAATTGGTCGACACCATCGCTGGACGGGCTGCGGGGGTGCAGTGGGCATGCAGTAGCACACAGAGCGGCGGCCATGTCGATGCATTGTACGAAGTAGGTCCGTGAGAAATTGATTTGGCCCTCGCGGCAGCTGTACTTGATGCCATGGAGGCAGTGCCAGGGCCTGTACGCTGTCCGTCTCGTCATGTCGCCAACAGTCGTGGTCTCCGTGACAGATTCACCGTGACCACGGGCTTGCTGAGTTGTCCTGCGGCAGGTGAACACTAGAGACTGCCATGGCCAACTCCAGGGCGGCCGAGAATCCATCACGTAGTCTGAGCCCGTGAGAGAGCATGCGTGCTCACCTCGACATGTTTTGGGCTCAGGGCGTTCCAATCCAACCCTTCTGAACACAGTCACAGCAAGGCTTCATTTCAGGCAGGACGGTTCCGCAAGCTGAATGTACCTTTGCGAGCAAACACAAGCGAGAGGGAACATGCCGAATCCCCAAAGTTGGTCTTGCATGCTGTGCTTGACCGGGTCGGCGGGCTTGACGGTTGACGGGCTGGGCGCGCGGCCACGCGGGGGTACGATGACTCGATGAGGATGCATCTGGCTGCGTCGTGTGCGATATGGTGCATTTGCCACGGACGGGAATGACGGCTGGAGCAACATGGGGGTTGATTGCCAGCTCAGCAAAGCAAAGGCAGATGACCCAGATGACCAAGGGTGAGATGCAGCGTGGGAGGCGTGTGAAAGGCGTGTGAAATGTGTGCGAGGCAAAAAGAGGCGGGGAAAGAGTCTGGCATCTCACCAGCTCATGTCAAGCGTCAACTCGTGCATCTGCGACCAACAGAGAGGCAGGCGCGACCGGGCAGGAGGGCGGTGAAGTTGCCGCCGCTTTGGGCCGGCGAATACGGTTGGCCGGGAGGGGAGCAGGCCCATGTGCGATGGTTTGTTAATAATCTATTATTTTTATTTTCCTTTATTTTATTTTATTCGAAACTTTAAAAGGAAATAAAAAAAAGAAAACAAAAATAACCACTCGAGACATGTGCCGCCTCCGCCCCTTGGTTCATATTTAAGCATTACGGATGCGGCCCGAGAAGCACACACACCTACATTTGACCTGTTTTGCATTTCCACGTCGACGGCAGCTCCCAGGCACAAGCGACCAGTCCCAAAGTGCTCGAATTTTCCAATGGCAATCGTCTAGATGCAGTAAATTTCGCCTTCTTCACGGTCAGACTCTTGGAGTTCACAGGCACCGCTTCCCTTCCAGCCCCGTCTGCAGAAACAAACCTCGAGGCCCTCAACACCACCATCAATCACTTCCCGCCTCATAAAGCCCAACTGGCACCCCTCCGGAACAGACGGTGAGAGCATCCGCTGCGTCCGCCACTCTCCGCCACAATGCAAAGGCGGCCAAGCTGCCGTCTGCTGACGATCCACGGAGCACCACACGCTTGCGGCAGATCATGTAAGCCACAGCGCGGAAGCAAACACCACCGACTGGAGCATGTAGAATGTAGCATGTGTGCCGGTGTGCATGTGTCCCTGGGCGCCTGAAGGCCTGCAGCATGTCCAGGAGCGTCCAGGACCAGAGTTGTGCGCGAGAAATGTAACCTCACCCTCTGGAGGCGTCGAGTTCCGTACCGTGACTTCAGCTGAACCAAGTGCTGCCGAACGACATGATACAGGACGAGGACGCCCTCCTTGACCCCTCATCCACCTGCTTGTATCATGTTGCACCGCCTCAGCTGGCTGCCTAATGTAATTGCAGGTCCGAATGCTGATGGATGGTGTTTTGACACGACCCAACGCTTACATATGAAGTCGGCCATTGACAAATGAGAATCTTTTCATGTCCACGGGGCCTGAAGAGTAATAACAGTGATAATAATAATAATAATAATAATAATATCGCAACATTGATTTGAATTCGACTTTTCTTTTATTCCTGCCGGATAAGCACGCGACCCTGTTTCATCCCTGGACTTGCAAATGCAACCTCAATATTAGCCTTGCGTCACAACATCTCTGAAGTTCTCGACTCACACATTTCCAGATGGCGCCACTGAAGGCTTTGATGGGAGGCACATGACGGCTCGTGGCACTTGGGACATGGGTTTATCTCGGAACATCTCATGATTAAGTGCATCTTGATGCTTCATGCCAAAAGAAGGCTGGAAATCTTGTTGTCAGTGTAAAACAGGGTGTCTCGTGTCTCTCGCCCACGAACGCACAAGAAAAAAAAAAGGCGACGAAATTCTGGGATTGATATTACAAGCGGTTATAAATAAACGTCAAGACACTGTCACCACCACTGTTTAGGGCAGCTATGCCACCATATCATCTTGACCTTTACTCAGCCGCAGTGGCTCAGCCTGATGATATTGGGGTTGTCCAATCTGTTGCATATTAGGGGGCTTACCCGTGACGGCCAAATGTTCCCCATGCTCACACCGTTTTCCTGGTAGCTCTGACTATTTGGAATTGGCCCTTGGGGGCTCGCTGTAGGATTTGTGATATCCACCCAAACTACGCCCGTACGTTTGTTGGCCCAAAGTGTTTTCATGGTTCCCGTCCTTCACCTATAAATAGTTTAAGCAAGAAACGCTGGACGAAAAAAAGAGGCAGTAGCGTAGATGCTGACATTCATTGAGTGTTCTCGAGACGACAGATGCATGCATGTGGATGTGCTCAAGTTCCTCTGCCGCGGTACTGCTCTACACGCGATATTACACCGTCAACTCATTATTCTCCTGTTGATAACAGGCGGGAACTCGGTAGCCGACTCGTTTACCGCCGCGGTAGCCGTGAAATTACATCAAGTTGCCTTCATGTGAACACCATGGCACATGGTAAGTCGTAGGCTCAACTGACCAGCTGTCAAATCGACATGCCCGCCCTCCAAGGCAGTAAGAGCAAGTAGTGATTCCCCTTTCAGGCAAACGAGTCCTCCCATTGCCGGCCAAGAGACTTGCCCGTCCAGACCCTGCATGCTATCCCGTCACCATCATTCCAGATAGCGAATAGCATTGCTCAATCATTCGCTTGTCCACGTGTCTCTCGCAGGGGTGCCACATCATCAATGTCGTCTCCCAAGAAGCTCTAAACTCAAAACTGAGGAGGAACAAAAATACGAGACCATATGAAAAATAGCGGCACCAAGAGCACCGAGATTTGCAAAACATCTACCCCGTAATTCGGGACGATTGGTGGTGGGAGGGTATAAGACGACAAAGCTGATTGGTCCATCGCATCCATCGGATTGTCCAACGTCAACCCGACCCACAATTTCCCAAAGAGGCAAACGAGCTCAACGGCTTCCAAGACGACGCCATTCCCCTGCGCATACTGTCGTTATTGTAGGCACGAGAATGGAGTGAAGTCTGATAATAACTTGTACTGAAATGGGCTGTGGGCCGTGTGCTGCGCTATTCGAAGCCGGCGCCGCATCGTAAACTCGTCGGATTCTATCAGAAGCACTTACACATGATGCTAGAGATGGGTATAAGAGCCGCCCGGCGGCAATGCGTCCTGTTCGTAGAATCTAGCATCTTGATCACATTCTAGTCTTGTTTCAAAAATTTAAAAGAAAGAAGAATCCAAATCCTTCTTCTTTCAAAATCCTTCAAATAACAAAGTTGCACTCAAAATGGCCGACGACAAAGATGTCTGGATGTACAACCCATCTTTTGCCCTGGCCGTGATTGGCACAATTGTATACGGCCTAATCTTCATCGCCATGACATACTTGACATTCTTCCGCTACAGAGCCTGGTACTTTACTGTTGTGGTTGTCGGTGCGGCAGTCGAAGTAGCTGGCTATGTTCTCAGAGCCTATTCTGCCAAGAACCGCACCATATTGGTAATCTTGGACGCTACGAGCATCAAAAGCCTCAAACTCTGTGGAAGTCTAACGAGAGCTTCATAGGTCCCGTTTGTACTGACACTGACATTCACTGTCCTCGCGCCCGTACTTGTCGCCGCGGGAAATTACCTCCTCATCAGCCGCCTCATCCGTGCCGTCCTGCCCCCATCGCATCATCGCGTTCTTGGCGTCCCCGGAAAACGACTTACACCCATCTTTGTCATCTGCGACGTCGTATCGTTTACCATCCAGGGCAATGGCTCTGGAATTGCTAGTTCGGATAACTGGCAGGGCGAAAAGGAGAAGATTGGCCGCTATGTGCTTATCGGAGGGCTGTCCTTTCAACTCGTCGCCTTTGGGCTGTTCCTTTGCGTGTTTCGGCGCTTCCATGTTTTGGCGAACAGAATGGCAAGACCAGAGGCTCCCAAGGGCTGGCAGCAGGTTGTTCTGTCCGTGTACATTTCCAGTGTCCTGATCATGGTAAGAAAGAACACCAATTGGCGAGTGCGCAGACTTGTTGAGTCTCTGACAAGACCAGGTTCGGTGCATCTATCGTGTGTGCGAGTTTGCCGAGGGCATGAATGGCTATGCCTTCCGCACCGAGTGGCTGTTCTGGGTGTTTGAGACCCTGCCCATGATTGGCGCCATTGGTATCTTCGTCATATATCACCCGAGCCGGTTCCTCGGTCAGGATGGAGCGGCGCAGCCCAAGGAGCCTCGATCCGACGAATCCACAGAGCTCATTGGCAAGCGAAGGTGGTTCCGAATGAGACGTTTGAACGACAGCCCTGCTTAAGCCAACAGACTCCCTAAACGAAGAAACTTGAGCATTCTCAAGCCCACTATGGCTAATGTATTTGACGGTAGTGTATATTGGCAATTTGTAGATGGGATTTTCTGTTAGTCAACGGGTTATATTTCATTTGTCGCGTATATCTGAATTACAACATGGATTTACTCACGCACCTCACCATCCTCAAGCTGCAATGTCTTCAACGCCAAGCCATCATGTACATCTACGGAAGCAAGTCTCCAGAAACTGGTGTCGGCTAGAAATGTAGTCTTCATAAACTGCGAAAACTTGAGCGGCCATTCTATATACGGCCGACATGTTTCTGGCAACGAATCGTATATCTTCTCCATCCACACAATGGCCATGACGTTGCGAGCGTCGTAACGATGACGGGTCTCATGGAAGGAAAATTGAGGACCGTCTTCCCAGACGCAGATTGTGCGGCTCAGGATGATGTCCAACAGCAGCATGTGGACGATGACAAGGCGCGCGATCTGATTGCTTGGATCGATGAATGCGGAAAATTCAGTGGCCGACATGCGGCCTACTTTTTCGTGGAGGAATGAATGCTCGCGGAAACCTGGGAATCAAAATTCTTTCAGGTTAGCAGGAGTAGCCTTTTGTCTACCTGTATGAGTGTGGGCAGGTCTGACATTCGTAAATGTTGTTGGTGGCGGAAGTCACTATTCGGCGCATCATGGCAATGTGCTCAATGTCAATGACGCTGTGGCACAAGGGGCCGAGTTGTTCAAGACTTGTGCAGAACCCGTTGGCAATGGACTCATCTAGCAAGGGAAGCCATTGGTCGTCTGCCGCGGCTACAGACGATGCTTTTTCGACGTAGACGTCTCGTTCAAATGTTTTGAAGGCAGAGTTCTCGGGATCAGGCACCACGTGGGTTCCGACAAGAAAACCTACAGTTGAATAGATGTTAATGACATGATGTTTCCGTCCTATTTGGGTCATTTCGTCCCGTGCGAGAAGACGTACAGCCGCGGGTCATTGTAAGAAAGTCGGCAAGACCATCCGGCATGTGAGCTGCTTGGAAGGTCAGAGTGAGAATGGCAGCAAAGGCCGCCTCAGTATCCGGAAGCGAAAGCTTTGGTCTTGACAGGAATTTGTTTAGTCTTTCAATAGCCGTCACTCTGTGCTGCAGGGCAGAATGATTGAAGTCGCCGGGGGCCAGTAGACCCAGATGCGAGGCACCTAGCCCGAGCATCGAATGGATTAAGAAGTCGTACTATACGTGACAAGTCAGTTGGCCATTCATTGTACCATCTTCAATGGTCCCGGCAGATGCTCACACACGACGACGTACCTCGTGCGACATCTGCGAGATGTACTGCCACACATATCTCCCCCCAACTGGCAGCGGCGGAAACGCAGATATGAGAAAATGCTGAAAGAATCTCATGTCCGAGAACCCAAACGAACCAGGATGCGTGGACAATGGCTGAGGAACAGCCGGTCCCACTGCCAACGGTGAAGCATGTTGTTGAGCTTCACTCCTCTGAGCCCTTCTCATCTGCGAGTATTCGCACTCAAGTCCTAGCCGCTGACATGGTCCGCAGATGGGCGTGGCTTCATCACACTTGACTTTTCGTCGTTTACAATTTGGACAACCCGCTCGAGATTTTGTGTGTCCTTTTCTGGGAATTGGACGTCGTTTGCCAGTGGTAGGCTGCTGGCTGTTGCTGGGTGCTGATGAAGCCGATCCTGGACTAGGAGAGGAATCCATGCCCATGTCCATGCATGTAAGCTACCGCACAGCGATGTTGAATACTTCTATAAGATGACAATACGGCATTGAGGGAAAAGCTTGGTGTTTCCTTTTCCGCAAGTCATGGTTTTCACAGCGGCGCGCCCTTAAGAGCAAAAGAGGCTGAACGGAGCACTCAGCTCTATTGGCCTGGAACGTATCCAGCTTACCAGGGAGGCACGTCGTTCGACTCCGAGTCCAGAGTCTAGTGGATGGCCCTGCATGCTGGAGACAAAAGCCACGCAATTACCGAGCCTGTTGCTACCAAGTAAGCTGACTGTACACGCGGTCGGGCTATTTTTGGGGGTGGACATGACGACATAAGTTACTTACACCCTAACGTGAGTTTGTTCCGAGAGCTGGAGACAAGTGCCTTTTCCACGGCTCTCAGTCTTTGGCGATTCTTGGCAGTTGGATGGTTGTCGATTGGAAGCACATATCACAGTCGATAGGAAGCTGTCAATATTACATATTTTGATGTGGCCGACTCGGTGTCGAGTCAAGGCAACGTCTATTGTGCCATTACTTTTGTACCCTTTAACCTTTTTTGGTATATTCCCATTCTCTATCGTGACTTCTCTAAAACTCCTCGTCGCCCGAGCCTGAAACAATGACGTTGTTCACCTTCAGAACCATGCGGCATAATTGCGTGGCGAGCTGAAGCTGCTGCTTCTTTCCAATCAAGGGGTCAATGACAAACGCTTCCTTCATGTCGTTGTTCCCACGTCCCATGCAGTCGACGCCAAGTTTACCTCGGCTGTCGGGCCCAGCCTTGACCTGCTGACTCTTGACCTCAGCAAGAGTGGAAATGGGATTGAGGCCACTGTTCTCAGCCAGCGTCATAGGGACAGTATCCAAAGCTTCAGAGAACGCGCGCATGGCGTACTGTTCCAAACCAGGCGTCTTGACGGCGGCGTCCTCGACAGCCAGGGAACAGGCAATCTCGGCAGCACCGCCGCCGTAGACGACACGGTTGTCGCGAACCAAGTTTCTTACCACGCACAAAGCATCGTGGAGTGATCGCTTAGCTTCGTCGATAATCTAGACAATGTGTCAGCCATCAATACTCCATTGGACAGGGGGTGACGGGCACACATACCATCTTGTTACTGCCACGGCAGAAAACAGTCACGGCACGAGTGTTGGCACACTCCTCAATGACCAGCATCTTCTCTCTCGTTGTGCCAAAAGTCATCTCTCTGACAACACCTGCCGAACCCAGCTTCTCTGGCTTGAGGTCTTCGAACCGCGGTACTATTCTGCCATTCGTAGCAATGGCAATCAGCTCAATCTCGGGGCCACCAACCCAACGAACGGCTGGAAGACCATTCTGGAGAAGCAAGTGGTTGGCTTCATCGTCGAAGCCCCACTGACAAATTGCCAAATTGGCACCGGTGTCCTTGACCTGCTGGATCATCTCGATAAACTTCTCCCTCTCGTAGTTTTGCAGTTTCTTGAACTCCTCAACACTGGTAATCTCGAGCTTGTGCTTCGTCTTGGGCTTAGGGGGTTCAAAGGCACAAGTCAGGATGGCAATCTTGGCGTCTCGCACTTCAGAAGGCATTTGCGGGTGAGAAAAGTCCTTGTCGACAATGACACCCTTGACGAGAAGCGTGTCTTCGAGCGAGCCTCCAACCTTGCCATCAACCTTGATCAGCTCGAAATCGACATCCTTTCGCTCCAGATCTGCCACTGACAGGACAGCATCCACCGCAATGTTGGCAAACTGATCATGCGCTTTGGAGACAATCTTGCTGCCCAAGCTTGTTCGTGCAACCTTGACCAGGTTAGCAGTCTCTGTCTTTGTGAAGTCGATTGTGTCTGAGATTCGGTCCAGCTCAGCAACGGCGATGTCGCAAGCTTGGTCGTAACCGTCGGCAATTCGGATAGGGTGGATACCCTTGTCAATAAGGTCGGCAGCTTGCTCTAGCAGAGCACCAGCCAGGACGACGACACCGGTGGTACCGTCACCGATTTCATCATCTTGGGACTTGGAAAGCTCTACCAGCAGCTTAGCGATGTGGTTGCTGATTTCCATCTGCTGCAGGATGGTGGCGCCATCGTTGGTGACTGTGATGTCTCCGTCAGGGGAGATGAGAATCTTGTCGAGACCTCGGGGGCCAAGGGAGGACTTGACGAGATTTGCAACGGTTCTAGCTGCGAGAATATGAGACTTGACGGCTTCGTTTCCGAATTGACGTTTCTTCTTTCCCTGACTGTGTGGTGTCAGAGGCTGTTCAAACTGAACGCGAATGGCGGGGCATGTACTTACTCTCTGACCACAATAAAGGGCCGACCTTGCTCGTCCTTCATGAAGGTTGCTGTTTATGCGAAAGTATACGAGTTAGCGCTGAAGCCCGTTTGCCGAGGATACATCGTCGTGCAATTACCATTGTTAGGATCCAGATCTGGCAAGTTCGTGTTAGCTTCAATCATCAACCCCCCTGGGTCGCCACAACTAGTTGCACTCACTCAGCGACATGTTGGCGACGAGCTAGCTATAACGGAAGCTTTACCAGACTATGCCCAAAAATGACTTGCCGACAGAAAAAAGGGACCCCGAAACTGACGATAGCCTACAGCTTGGAGCTTGTCGTCGTAGCCAAATTTGTAGAATATTGGTGCTGCCTTGAACCTGTCGCGGTGCGGGACACCGGGAAAAGAAATCTCCGCCATCCGAATTATCGTTGCAAAACGGCCCGGCTTCTGTTGGCTTCTGCAGACGGCCATGATTAGGCGGTCAGTGGGTATCCGCAGCGGGCGGCTCTCTGCTGGCTGGTTGCTTCACTGAGCAAGGAGGGGCAAGTTTAATCACAGGCGGCACTTGCGGGGGCCTAAATGGTGGCCTGGGGGGTATCAGCAGTCAATGTTCTTTGAAGCTCCATGTTTAGCTGCCCCTCCATGTGTGACCTCCTCACAGCGTCGACGGCTTTCCAGAATTGCCCCACGCGTCATCGGTTCAGTCACACTAAGCAGGTCTTCATTGCCCTCCAAACTTCAACTTGGCTGTATGTTGGAGCCCAATTTTTGGCGGCCCATTGCTACCATTGCTCATCCTTTTGGCTTCTTTTTTTTGACCGCTCAGCTGGTGTCCCTGTGCGTCCCTTTTTCACTGTGTCGCATAATTTTGCCAGAGTGCGTGCCATACCTCGATTTTGACCGAGGCATTACGGACAGACAACAAGCTGACCAGCTCAGAAATATCATACAGCTTTCCCCCTGTGGATTGCCCGCACCCAATTTAAGCCGACAGCGAAACGAACTGTCCGCACTCTCTTCGAAAAGACTAGTCATTGTACGGCATTGTTGTTGACCATGGCACCCACTGATTTCTACGACGATGATGACCTATATGATGGGAACGACTATGAGGAAGATCAGGAGGAAGAGCTGAGCCCCGAGGACAAGCAAGCTATGGAGGAGGGCACTGCGGATGTAAAAAAGGCACTTGGTGCCAATGCAAGCAAAGTAACAGTCAAGCAGATACAGGAGGCGCTATGGCACTACTACTACGATGTAGAGAAGTCTGCCGCCTACTTAACCAAGACCTTCATTGCACCACCGCCGCCTAAACCCGCACCGAGAAAGGCCCCAGAGAGTAAGTTGCGTGAGTTCTCGTTTTCATCATCACTCGGCCTGTTTGTAAGATCTGCTGGAGCGGCGAGCACTTTACCATTGTCCAACTCGCCACAAACACCTGAAACACTACCTCTACCACCTTGCAGGACTTTCAGCTACGGAACAAATTCGAATATTCTTCAATCAGAGTTCGATGATATGCCTTGGTTGAATACGCCCCAGAGTCGCCAAGCTACTCTTTTAGCACCCTCTGAGCCACGAGGCGGATTGCTTGGCGGAGCGGGAGATGCCCCAAAAATGTCCAAGTTGCAAGCACTTGCGGCCGCTAGGAAAAAGAAGAACGACGAAAAGAAAGAGCAAGCGAAAGCTTCAGAGGCAGAAAGTGGCATGAAGAGGTTGTCCATCGCCGATGACTCTCAAAAAGGCACCACTAAAGGAGCTTCAAGCCCCGCAAAGCGGCTGCGTGGCCCCGATATGCTGGCTTCATCGCGACCAATATTGGGCAGAGGCGACTCACGGAGTGAATCTTGTCAAAATACACAATCCAGTGCTGCTCCTGTCGCAGCCATAGCTTCCCAGCAAGAGCCGGGTAAACCAAATCAATACCCTCTAGTTCAATGGGAAGAACAAGAAGAAGATGCAGAGCCAGCTCCTGCATGTGCACCGTCCGCCTTCGCCAAGACTCTGTTCGGTCCCGCTCCAGAAGATCGCCAAGCAAACAGGCCTGATTTCTTTGCAATGCCATACGCAGCTTCATCATCCTTCCTTGCTACAGCATTCTCTAATCCCAGCCCGGACGATATCGTTCTGGCCGCGCAGACAAAAGGTTCGAACTTCGCAAGGGCGAAATAACAAGCTAATTCTAATGTTTCTTCAGCCGGGAAGAAAACTACAGCTCCTGTCAAAGCGGCATCGACAGTAGTGAAAAAAGACAAGAACGTCGATACCGTATTTAAAGATGCAGATGTGGCAAACGGCGTCTCCAATCTGAGGGTCAGCGATGCTCCGCCCCCAAAGAGCAAAGGTCTTGATGTGGCCAAAGAGTACGAGAAGAGAAAAAGTAAAAAGAGCATCAGTTTTGTTGTCGTGGGTAAGTTACAAAAGTAGATGACTAACTTGTCCATGTCATCTATGCTAACGTGTGAACAGGACACGTTGATGCCGGCAAAAGTACGCTAATGGGTCGCCTTCTGCTTGAACTGAAATATGTTCAAGAGCGCACGGTAGATAGGTATCGTCGACAAGCAGAGAAGACAGGAAAACAATCTTTTGCTCTTGCTTGGGTCATGGACCAGAGAACGGAAGAAAGGGAACGTGGCGTCACAATCGACATCGCCACCAATCATTTCGAAACTCCAAACACCAACTTCACCATCTTGGACGCCCCTGGCCATAGAGATTTCGTCCCAAACATGATTGCTGGTGCTAGCCAAGCAGATTTTGCCGTCCTCGTTGTTGACGCAAATACTGGAGCCTACGAAAAGGGCCTCAAGGGGCAAACGAGAGAACATGTATTATTGCTGCGCAGTTTGGGTGTGCAGCGCCTAATTGTCGCTGTTAATAAACTTGACATGGTTGGTTGGTCAAAAGACCGATTCGACGAGATTTCTCAACAAGTCATGGGGTTTCTCACAGGTTTAGGCTTCCAAAGCAAGTTGGTAAGCTTTATACCAATTTCAGGCCTGAATGGAGACAATATCGCCAAAAAGACGGAGGATGCGTCTGCAACATGGTATCAGGGCCCAACTCTTCTTGCATCATTGGAGGATTCAGAGCCGTCATCGGCTCGTGCCATTACAAAGCCCTTCCGGATGTCGATTTCAGAAGTGTTTCGATCCCAACAACAGGGCACAACAACACTTGCTGGCCGCATTGACGCAGGGAATATTCAGATTGGTGACGCAGTTATTGTGCAGCCCAGTGGAGAGCGTGCATATATCAAATCCATCATGGTGGATACGGAAGCTCAAGAATGGGCAGTTGCTGGCCAGAGTGTTACGATTGCCTTGACTGATATTGATCCTGTTCACATACGTGTTGGCGATATCGTATGCAGTACCGTCGACCCAATCAGTGTTGGGGACACGTTCACTCTGAAGGCCATGGCGTTCGAGCATCTAATGCCGATGCCCGTTGACCTCCACCGTGGCCGTCTACATGCAGCTGGACAAATAGAGTCAATCCCTGCAACCCTTGACAAGGCTACTGGTGAGGTCATTAAGAAGAAGCCCAAGGTGATTCAGCCGGGCAGTGTGGCTCGCGTGACGATTAAGCTGGGCACCAAGGTTCCGTTGGAAAAGGGCCAGAGAGTGGTGCTTCGCAGCGGTGGGGAAACTGTTGCTGCCGGCTTATTGGAATAAATGTATCCGCGGATCAAGATTTATCATGGCTGTGAGTCAAAGTGAAAAGAGAACCTTGTCGATGACACGCAGTACGGAGTAGACAAGTGGCATTTAGTAGTTCTGAGGGGCGGAGCATACACAAGGCCAGATATCAGGAGGCGACGCATGATTTATCACGGGATGACCCGTAGCTATGTACTCCGTGTCTAGGTGGCAAATAGTTGGCATTCACACCTGCAGGCTCTCCATAGCAGTCATCTATATTGAGGCCATATCGGTACTTGGCTTATGGGAATATGTTGTGTATGTTGTGTCTTGCAAGAGTCCTGCCTTTGTAATAGGTAGTTGTTTCGAATGTTCTCGAAGTCTCCACTTGAGGCTACTTGTCCACAGCTTGAAGTTCTACTTTCGTCCTCCCATCCATGCATGACCAAAGGACTATTGCAACTGTGTCTCTTTGTGCTGGTTGAAGCATCTTTTGGATATCCTGGCCACAGAGGAAGGCCCGTGAGTGACATTAATTTAGTCATTGAACTCCGTAGCGGAAGGACTCGTGTGGGTGGGCTACGCATTTCTGGCATTGCCTTGGTGGTGGCGTCGTTGCTATTACAGATCATGTGCCAGCACACTCTACGTGGAACAAACTCTAGATGGACAAGTCAAGTGATCGAATAGATGCTCCTCTTGGGTTCATCCCAAGTTCAATGCCATGCAGGCGCGACGAGTAAAGGTCTGCATGGCGCTGGTGACATCAACTAGGAAAGGAACACAGAGCCAACTGTCGGCCCAAAATGCCGGACCATGTGCACAGTGGGTTTCTGACACTGTCTCTGAGACAGTGCGAGAGTGGGGCAGGCTCGCGGGAGTCAGTTCTGGCAGGAACCTTGCATGAAATCTGGCCTTTTGTGCACTTGACTCTTTTGGACACCTCGAAATTATTTTATGGAGTCGCGCTGCAGCTTCTTTCCTACTTCTTCTTCTTCTCCTTCTCATCCACGTTCGTCTTCACACTTCCACCCGTCTTCTTCATTTTTCATTTTTCAATTCCATATTTCCATTGATACCCCTCTGAAGACGCTGACTCGAGGACCAAGTAGATTTCGCTGCTTACGATACATACGCCTTCATTCATTCTCTCTTCAAGGCTGTTATTGGTTATATCGTCGCGATTGCTTCCAACCGGCGGCACATTCACACATACCCCCCTCCCACAATGGCCCGATCACGAGGCTCATACACCTTGGCCCTTGGGCTCCTTTGTTGGATCGCCCTGCTCTTCTCTCCTCTGGCTTTCGTCAAGCCTGTTCAGGCCGAGGTAGCTGAATATGGCACTGTCATTGGTATTGTGAGTACTGCTGTCTCCTTGTAGACCATGGTAGTGGGAGGTTGCTTCTGAAGCGCGGCTCTCAACTGCTACAGATCTGCTCTTTCCCTGACGCGATTGCTGACTATTTGCGCCCCTTTTACAGGATTTGGGCACGACCTACAGCTGTGTCGGTGTGATGCAGAAGGGCCATGTCGAGATTATCGTGAACGATCAGGGTAACCGGATTACTCCTTCTTATGTCGCCTTCACTGACGAGGAGCGTCTCGTTGGTGACGCGGCCAAGTACCAGGCCGCCGGTAACCCTGAACGAACCATTTTTGACATCAAGTAAGTATTGCTGTCATTAAAACACCAGTTGGAGCATTGTCTTTTTAACAAAGTTATCTTTAGGCGTCTAATTGGCCGAAAGTTCAGTGACAAAAACGTGCAGGCCGATCTCAAGCACTTCCCTTATAAGGTTGTCGCCAAGGATGACAAGCCTGTTGTCCAGGTTGATGTCCAAGGCAGTCAGAAGACTTTCACCCCTGAGGAAGTTTCCGCCATGATTTTGGGTAAAATGAAGGACGTTGCCGAGTCTTACTTGGGCAAGAAGGTCACCCATGCCGTCGTCACTGTCCCCGCCTACTTCAATGTGAGTCTCGCGCAACATGAAGCCGATTCAAAGTCAACGTTGCTGACACGTAGTGCAGGACGCCCAACGCCAGGCTACCAAGGATGCGGGTACTATCGCCGGTCTCACTGTCCTCAGAGTTGTCAACGAACCCACCGCTGCTGCTATTGCATACGGTCTGGACAAGACCGAGGGTGAACGCCATATAATTGTGTACGATCTTGGTGGCGGTACTTTCGATGTCTCTCTTCTTTCCATCGACCAGGGCGTTTTCGAGGTCTTGGCTACTGCCGGTGACACCCATCTTGGTGGTGAGGATTTCGACCAGCGCATCATTAACTACCTCGCCAAGTCGTTCAACAAGAAGCACAACGTGGATATTACCAAAACTAAGAAGGCCATGGGTAAGCTCAAGCGTGAGGTTGAGAAGGCCAAGCGCGACCTGTCGTCTCAGATGACCACTCGCATTGAAATCGAACCCTTCTTCGAGGGCAAGGACTTCTCTGAGACCCTAACTCGCGCCAAGTTCGAGGAGCTGAACATGGATCTTTTCAAGAAGACCCTGAAGCCTGTCGAGCAGGTTCTCAAGGACGCCAAGATGAAGAAGGATCAGATTGATGATATTGTTCTTGTCGGTGGTTCTACCCGTATCCCCAAGATTCAGGCTCTCGTTGAAGAGTATTTTGGCAAGAAGGCGTCCAAGAAGGTCAACCCCGACGAGGCTGTCGCTTTCGGTGCCGCTGTTCAGGCTGGTGTTCTCTCCGGAGAGGAGGGTACCGAGGAACTTCTTCTTATGGATGTCAATCCTCTTACTCTCGGTATTGAGACCACTGGTGGGGTCATGACCAAGTTGATTCCCCGCAACACCGCCATCCCTACTCGCAAGAGCCAGATTTTCTCTACTGCTGCTGATAACCAGCCCGTGGTCCTGATCCAGGTCTACGAGGGTGAGCGATCTCTGACCAAGGACAACAACCTTCTTGGCAAGTTCGAGCTTAGTGGCATCCCCCCCTCGCCTCGTGGTGTCCCCCAGATTGAGGTCTCCTTTGAGCTTGACGCCAACGGTATCCTCAAGGTCTCAGCTCACGACAAGGGCACTGGCAAGCAGGAGTCCATCACCATTACCAACGATAAGGGCCGTCTTACCCAGGAGGAAATCGACCGCATGGTTGCTGAGGCTGAGAAGTACGCCGAGGAGGACAAGGCTACCCGTGAGCGCATTGAAGCTCGCAACAGTCTCGAAACCTACGCTTTCAGCCTCAAGAACCAGGTCAACGATGCCGAGGGTCTTGGTGGCAAGATTGACGAGGAGGACAAGGAAACTGTAAGTTCATGCTCCAAAGTGATGACTGCCGTCATCAGCAGCAGCAGTTGGCTAATACTGGAGCTTAGATTCTCGACGCCGTTAAGGAGGCTACTGAGTGGCTCGACGAGCACGGTTCTGACGCTTCCGCTGAGGACTTCGAGGAGCAGAAGGAGAAGCTGTCTAACGTGGCTTATCCTATCACCTCCAAGCTGTACGGTGGTGATGCTCCTGGCAGCCAGGAGGAAGAATCTGATTTCCACGACGAACTGTAATTGTATAGATGCCGTCACTTAATGGGTGTAACAGGATAAGATAGCTCTGGTCTGGTTCTTTTGCGTGGAGTATGGGCATTATGGCATGTTAGGTTTAATCTTGCCCGCAGCGTAAAGTAGACGTATTAACTGAGCTTTTACAGCGCAACTTTTCTGGCATTGGTGTGCGTGTGTGCGTGATTTCTGTCTCCTAGATGGTGAGGCAATACTTCCACTCCCCTGGCTTGGGGGCTGATGGGGGGGGGGGGGCGCGATGCCTTTAAAAGAGGGGAG